CAATTGATCTAGACATATACATATATATATATGTATACGTCTAGATCAATCTTCCAATTGATCTAGACATATACATATATATATATGTATACGTCTAGATCAATCTTCCAATTGATCTAGACATATACATATATATATATATGTATACGTCTAGATCAATCTTCCAATTGATCTAGACATATACATATATATATATATATGTATACGTCTAGATCAATTGACGTATATATAAATATATATATATTATTGTTATTATTATTATATAATATGTTATAATAATTATAGGGTTTTTATTCGTCAATATAGGAATACCAACAATATTGCAATATTTTTTTGTAGTAAATAAATGAATTTTGTTGTCTAACAAAAATTGTGGATTTTAAGTCCAGAATTTAAATCCATAAGACACTTTAGTTAATAACACTGTTGAAAACTAACCAAAAGTCTCTAGAATCGACATCTAAGATAAGATACAAGGTTTAGTAAACTGAGAATAACAGAGATTTACATCAGACAAGACTTTATTTATACATTTTATTATTCAATAATAAAAAGGACAATTTTTTCTTAAGAGAGATGTTTTCATAAAAAAGCTGAAAAATGTAGTTAATGTTGAAAGATGTAGAGTAAAATGAGGCTTGATTTAAAACTGAAGAGAAGTAATAAAAGCTTCCAAGCTTTTATTCCAGAAGCAATATAAGCTTCCAAGATGCACTTTTTGCACACATATTATGGATATAAGCATATTTGTTTGCTATTTGTTTAGATGCTGGCATACAATATCCTTTCATTGTTGTATAAACTTTAGTATTTATATAGTGTAGTATTTGCCGAAAGAGAAAACGATCAGATGGATGTGTGGTGTGACTCTAACAAGATATAAAAAGTAGGCATAATCTTAGACAGATTAGAAAAAACGTTGTATCAAACAACCTTTTTTTTTAGAAAAAGTTAAAGTAATTCAAGTATTAACATGTAGAGTGGTAGCAGCTTCAGTATAAAATGGTTGTGGTAGAAGTAAGAAAATTTGAAGAGTGTGCCTTACATAGTGCCATAATAAAGATGATGATGATTATCATGATGATGATCAACAACATCAACATAATTTTTATTATCATTGTCAAGCTTTCCGCTTTTATGCTGTTGATGATAATGATGATGATGATGATGATGATGATGATGATGATGATGATGATGATGATGATGATGATGATCATGATGATGATGATGATGATGATGGTTATGATGATTATGATGATCATGTTGATCACAATGATGTTCATATATGCATATATATACAAAATATAGTATGAATTTTAAATTTAAAAAATATACTTTAGGATGTATAAATGTTTATGCAGCCTGGTCTCAAACCCGGCCCTGGCCCCGGCTATATTTTATCAAACCCGGCTCCGACCCCAGTCAAATATCAACCCCAGTTGTTTACTACAAAACATTTCAAGAATAAAAAACGTCGTGTTATTTTTAAAACAATTACTTATTTTATGCTATTACGACTATCACAATATATATATATATATATATATATATATAATATATATATATATATATATATATATATATATATATATATATATATATATATAAATATATACATAATTTATATATATATATATATATATATATATATATTTATTTATTTTTACTTTTTAAATTTAATAATAATCATACTAATTCAATAACATTTTTTAAACATTTGCTTTCAGATTGATAATGATACAAGTTTTATTTTTGGATTTAGATTCTGTATCTCAATGATATCCTGGCTTATCGATACGATATCCTGTAAATCCACTCACACACATAAATTTTACTCACACACGTAAATCCTGTAAACTCACTCACACACATAAATCTTAAAAAAGATGTTTATATTTTTATCTATAAATTGTAAATTTTATATAAATAAATTGTATATTTTTTATGTTTTTCATTGTATATTACTATTTGTATTAAAAATCGACTTTGGAAATATTGCAAATGCAGAGTTCAACATACAATTTTGTTTTGTTTGCAAATTCTATATACATTATAACCAAGTTTAATCACGTTTAATAATATTTTGCGATATTTTCTCCAGCGCATTTGAGCCTTGATTTAACGTTATATTTCAACCTTTACTCGACGTCTTTGAGTCACGTTAAATCGACGTTTTACTACCAACGTTACAAATCCTTGCAAAATCGACTGCTTTAACAACGTTAAAGTAACGCTTTTCAAGTAACGTTTTTTTAACGTTAAGTTGCGGCGCCTATGCAACGCTTTTTAAGTAACGCCTTTTCAACGTTTAGTTGAGACATTTTTGTAACGACTTTTAGTAGCGTTTTTTCAACGTTACGCTACAACGTTTAATCAACGTCTCTTTAACAACGTGACATATCTTTTGCAAAATCGATTACTTTGTCAACGTTTCCGCAACACCTTTTGCGACCGGTTTTCAACGTTGATTCAACGCTGACATGTTTGCTGGGTTAAGACTCCAGAAAATTAGGACTTCAAAGTCTTGATTTCCCGGGAAATCAAGTTTTTGAAGGAAAATTTGACGGGAAAATTTGATGTTATGGAGTCATAATTTCCCGGGAAATTATGATTGGAGCGGTAAATTAAGACTCCAAGAACTTGCGATTCAAAAAGAAAATTTACAAAAAAGTCGTTCTATTCTGCAGTAAAAAAAAAAACTTTTTTTTAAAAACTGTAAATAGAATTTAGAATAGAATCAAAGTTGATTCAAACCCAAAAGCATGTTTAAATAATGCGCTATAATTGTTTCATACGTAAACAAATAAATAAACTATACAAATAAACACAAGTGTGCTGCTTCATAACGAAGGAAAGAAAACATTTTGATTTTGATAACATAGAAGATTATCTTAGGAAAAAAAAATGCCCTTCTACTATATCTAAACATGATTATGGGATTAAATCAAATTTTCGAAGAGTAGCGAAACGGTTTGAAGTGAAAGACGGACATTTATCTTATAATAAAAGAATGGTTATTAAAGACAAAGAACTCCAAATGGATTCTTGAACCTTTTCATTCTTGTTTCATTCTTTCAATCCAGTTCATTCTTGAGCCTTTATGGCTCAACTGTATTGAGCTCACAGAGGCAGATAGGGAAATTTTGGAAAGTAAAGATAGCTGATTGAACGACAATCT